TTTTCTTTGAATGTGCTTTCTCTTTAGATGTTTGGGATATGATCGACTCTTATTTTGGTTTCTCTTGGATACATAGAGGTTCTTTAACTAGTTATTTGTGGCAATGGAAGGATTATGATGCCTGTCAGGAGAGGTTTCCCCTCCCTTTATTGGTTCTTTGGTTCCTTTGGAACTTCAGAAAGAACTTTAAGTATCACACCTCTCCCCCCTCTACTTCTATGATTGTTGCCTATGTGATTGCCTATTATAATAAAGTTTTACGAGCTAGTTCTTCTGTGGTAAACGTTTCTAAGCCCCCTCGGCTTATTACATGGACTCCCCCGCACGCTAATTATGTGAAATTAAATGTTGATGGGCATCCTGATTATGCTGCGGTTACGGTTAGGGGCTTATTTAGAAATTCTGAGGGGAGATGTCTTTGTTATTTCGCTTCTCCAGTAATTGCTGAAACTCCATTGGCTGTAGAATGTTGGGGAGTTTATTTGGCTTTAGTGGTGGCTAACAATTTCAATTTTCATAAATTAGAGGTGGAGATGGACTCTAAAATGCTTTAAGATATTTTGGTTGGTACCTCTTCTCCACTCTGAGATTTTGTTGGTACCTTTAAAAGAATACTAGCTCTTATAGCTGATAAACATCTTGAGGTTAATTGAAAGTTTATACATAGAGAGGGTAATTCCCTTGTCGATTGGCTTGCCAAGCATGCAGGGGAGATTTGTCACATTGGCATACACCCCACTGCCCCTCCCTCTTCGAAGACTCATCATTGTGGATACTTTAAATCTTCCTTATGTTCGGTTTTAAGTTTTTTATGCTTTTTTGGCCATCAAATGAAGCTCTATTCGGTTTGACTGGGCTTACTGCCTTTTTTTTTGCGGTTCCCTTCTATTTTGTTTGGCTTTATTGTTTTTATCACTTGTTACAGGATGATCTCTTTTTTTGGAGTCACGAACTGTGCTCACGGTATTTTTGGAGATATCTGCTATACCGGGGACAACTCTTTTGCATGATTTTCTTTGTTTTTTCTCTTTTCAAAATACTTCCAAGATATACAAGTACACAAGATTACTCTTTTTTGACTTTTTTGGTTTTTTGGTATACCTGTATTTTGGAGATTCATTTTTGGGTGAGTTGTACTGCGGTGAGAGGGACCCTTAGGGGTGAGTTAATTGTATTTTATGTGTTTTTCTAGAAGGGGATCCTCCCCCCCCCTACCCTTGTACGTTCTTTTTAAATATTAACGCGTAGGGAGCCACCGCTGCTCTTCCCCCCTGCTCCCCCCCCCGAAAAAAAAAAAAATTGTCGTTTCAGTTATGAGCTGTTTTTTTAAGTAAGTTAATTGCCTACAAGTCTTGAAAAATTTATAATCAATTAAATATTTTAATTTATAAAATAAAAAAATATATATTCAAGTATATTTAAACGATATTTTAATATAAATAAAAATATTTAAATCTCGCCCCTACCTTTAATATCCCACGCTTGCGGGATTAGTGTTATAAAAACTGCTATTTTATCTTGAACAACTTATGTTTGACTCACTAAGCACACGAGCCGAACATTAATAATTTTTTTGTGCTCAAAATATAAACAACCGAACACGAATAGTGATATTTTTTAAGGAGCAGAACACGAGCGAGCTTTTGGCTCGTTTACACCCCCAATTGCAGCAGGGGAAACAAAGCAGATTTTGCTTAATTTTTTCTTTTTTTTTCTTTCGTCTCTTTTTTGATATCTTTCTATTTCGTTATTCTTAATTGGGGTTCTTCCTATTAGGTACCTATTCATGTACGGGTTTTTGCTATTTTGGAAGACTTTTGCTATTGTTAGTGTTTGTAGATTTTAGTATCTTTTTTATGCTCTCCAGAGTGTTGTATTCTCCTTCTTTTGTAAGTGGTGTATTTGTATTTTTCTCAAGGACTGGTGGTGGATCCCCCTCGCTCTCACCGAAATCGGGCAGCTGTCAAAATCGATTCCACTTGTTATTTATAGCAGGAAACTAAAGCTTCTCGCTTTTGGTTCACCGTCCAGCCCCCATTCATGTTGATTTTCAGCTGCCATTCATTCTCTCACTATAATTACCCATTTTGCAACTCCTTTCATGTCTCTTGGTGATCTATCCCTAGAACGTTCGCAGTGGAGCTTGAGCCGGATGAGGCTAAACAACTAGAGGAAATGGGATGGAGTAGCATTAGAAACATCTCTAGCCTTGTGATGGAAGTGGCAATTTTGCTAGGGGTGTAAACCAAGGGTACGAGTAAAGTCATAACATGACAAGTTGGGATCCGAAGTAACTTTGATGAAATTGGAATAGTAGAAGATTCCCTTACAAAGATCGATAGGATAGTACATGGCTACTTATGTGACATCCCGTTTCAGTTACCTGAGGAGGAAATGAAGAGCTAGAAGAGGAAATTGAGAGTTGAACAGAGAGGAGAGAAAGTGAAGGGGATCGAAAACCAAGGAGGTGAAGTTCGCTCTATAAATTGTCGAAGTTGATTACCTGTTTTGTCAGGCAGGTTGGGGCAGCAATGTGGTGCTCGCATGCTGAAGAAAAAAAGTGGCAGGAAGGGAAGCTCTATGCATTTGTGATGCATGAGCTTATGGACGCTATACTGTAGCTCCTATATTTTCGTGGACAACCACCAGCATTTACTTAGTCTTTTCTTATATATGTGTTGTATTAGGGTTTGAAATTTAATTTTGGCTCATATTTCTGTCAAGACAGCCACCGACATCCATTTCTCCCTTCAATGGTTGTATCTGAGGGTTGGTTGGTGCTTTAGAAGTATCTCTCTCGAGGTGATGTTTTTTTCTCCATCCCTTTCCACATCCTCCCCACGTCGTCCCAACCGTCCTCCATTCCTGCAACCGCTCCCAAACAACCACATCTTGTTGTTTTCCTTGCATTTTTCCTAATCCGTCCACCTGCTCTCATCTTCGCCTCTCGGGAAAGTTGTCCTCTTGTTGTCCTGCAGCTTCAGCATCTCCCGTCGCTTTTGCCGACATTCCACCTTTTTGCTGCTAATTGAAAACAGCCTTTCCTTGATGTTTTTTGTTATTCTAGCCATCCATTCGTCTCCATCCAGCTTGCTATCCTTGCCTCAACTCCTGTCCTTCGCTGCTGCCATCCACACCCTTTGCTGTCACCACGCTTTACAGCCTTCACTCACTCCTTGCTATCTCGTCAGACAGCCAAATTCTCTCCAATCACCACCACCACTACCACCACCCTGAGATTTCTTCAGAGTTGATTATTTGTGTAGTGTCTGCTGCTATTTCTATTTTTCGGCTGTCGTGTTACTTTTTTCCTTTCAAGTGTGTTGATTGTAACCATTTAGTTTTTTTCGTGTAATAATAATATTTGCTTTTCTATTATGTTTGGCTTATCTTAGCTTGAGCACAGCGGAGGAAGATGCAACATTGGTGTTGAGTAGAGGAGGCGGCGTCGTCGTCCATGTCGAGCCACTGTGAAAAGAATTGAAGAGGAAGATGTCGCAGCTCTGTAGAGGAGCTCTCGTGCAATTCAGATATCATGTGCAGGAGGAAGAAGAATTGCTCATGTGCAAGGAAAGGGTTTTTCGACCGAGATTAAGGGTAAGTTATTAAACAAATATTATATATATATTTATATTATATTTATAATTTTATTATTTAAATTTTAAACTTAAGTGCATTTGATTTGAAGCCTTAGAGAAAGATAAGGTTTTAATTTTAAATATATTTTTGTATAAATTAATAATATTTAATATTATTTTTTATTACAATAATCAAACTTAAATTTTAAAGCATTGAAATCTTATTTAAAATAGTGCAATACAACAATAAGTGATAATTAAATTGAAACATAATTAAGTAAAATGATAATTGAATATTTTATACTTTATAAGTGATAATTTGATTGAAGTAATACAAGTTAAAAACAAGCAGATCGTTTATCATTGATGTGAGTATTCATTTTCTTTTGTTATAGTAATGTTTTGTTTATTCTCGACCAAATGAATATCCTGTTACTGTTATTGTATTGCATAATCTTGATTTATGGTTCTATTAAATTTTGTATGTAATACAAGAGTGACCCCTTGTGGTCTATTAAATTTTGTATTGTCTAAATTATTGTTGATATTCTATCCCTGATGTGATAGAAGAGAATAACACGACGATGTTTTCCTAATGACTCTGGTAGTCAAGTTTATAGTTGTCAACATTGAAAATTAATTTTTTATCATATAATATTGCTTTTTATTTAATTTTTAACTTGAAATATCTTACTTCAGCTATAAATTATTTCATGTTTGTGAGCTTAGGTTTGACATCATCAGACAATGAAGTTTATTTGACCCCCATCACATCATCTTATAGAGTTGAAAACTAAGCTTGAACGCCCCTTCTGTATTATTATCATACCTGTACATGTTTTCATAAGCATATCAACTTGATGGCAATTGTTTGATGGCAATTGTACATGTTTTCATAAGCATAGCAACTTGATGGCAATTTTCCCTATAAATGAAGTTCACGTTTATTTTCTACATATCAATGTTATCATAAACATATTTGCTTAAGGTTGCTTTTTTTTTTGTATTGATATGGCTCGTCTCTGTTCAAATTATCATAAACATATTAGCTCTTTTTTTTTTTCTTACTTTGTTATGCGCTCACCTTTTTCACCATACCTTTGCTAAGCATATTTCTGCATATTAGCATACATTTCTTTTAGCAAAAACAATTAAAAATTTAAGACTTATCTTTTCTTCCAATCATTGCGGTATGATCTCTTGCTTGAATGTCTTTTCTTCCAATCATGGCGGTATGATCTCTTGCTTGAATGCTTCTCTAAATTCTATCTAAGATAAATACACTGCTACTTTGAAAGAACCTTAATATATCGATGTTAAACCATTTTTCAGATTCCACTTTAATTGTTGTTTCAAGAGGTTTTGTTTCAGCAGGTGAGTGTGAAATTTGAATGGCTTTTTTAAGTAGTCCATTTTCTACAGGTTGCTTGAGCAAGGTGGAACGATGTTTGTTTTTGAAGGAAATAACAAGAGTACTCACGTGAAATCTGTCCTGAAAGTGCATAATCCTTTATTTTACTGGAAGGTTACCTGTTACTGTATTTTGGCTGCATGTTCAGTTTGATGTTCCATTAATATTATCTTGCAATAAACTTTTCAACTGCATCAGCAGATTGCTACTGAAGCTGATATAGGCCTTGCAGATGCTTACATTAGTGGCTACTTCTCATTTGTTGATGAGAAAGAAGGTCTTCTTAATCTTCTTTTGGTAAAACTGCTTCTTAATTTTGACATTTAAGCCCCTCCACTAAGCTTTTCTCTTACTACCTTAGAATATAGATGCTCAATTTCTCTTCAGGTTCTTATAGCTAACCGTGATCTGTGGAATTCTTTTAGCCATAAACAAAACAAGAGGTTGTGAATTTATTTAATTTTATTTTATTTAAAGCATTTGTGAACAATATGAGAGGCATTCTAACAGTTCTGCTCACAAGAATGTTTTAATCGGCATGTTGCAGGGGTTGGTGGACTCCATTACTTCTGACAGCCGGGATTGCTTCTGCTTGGTATTTTCTCCAGCATATCTCAAGGAGAAACAGTCTTTCCCAGGCTCGCCGAAACATTTCACGTCATTATGATCTGGTCAGTCACTGCCTATTAATTTTTATAACTTTATGGTTATTAGTTTCTATTCATATACGCCAGCATTAGCTAGTAAAACCACTTGGATCAGATGAAAAATGTTTTAGTACTTGTTTTCGACTTAGTAGGTCTTGGCATAGTTGAATAAGTGATTAATTGCAAACAAATAACCACATTTCATAGTCTATATGGGAGAGAAAATTGAAGAGAACTGCACCTTCTCTAAAGTATATTCTTAGTGCAACTATTTATGTGCTTATATACAGGCGATAGGAGAAAAAAGAAGAAAATAATAATAAAATAGAATATTCTCAGTGATATGGAAATTTAGCAATAATAAATAATGCTTAATCTACTCTAAATAATTAGCATATGTGATAATTTAGATATGATTAAATTACCGCACAAACTCAAGGTGGCAAAAGATTGTCAACTTGAGGTTAGAAATAGTGGTGACTAGACTTAGGCTAGTTTGGCGCAGTGGAACAGCTGTGGGGCGTTTTCAAAACGCTGCACTGTGTTGCGAGATAAGTTGGTTTTGCTTTTGTATTACATGTTGCCCGCAAGTTCGTCTCGCATTCGGAGAAAATTATTTACGGCTTTACCCTCCCATGCCCTCCAATGGTGTTATTGGTGGAGTTATTAGCTAGGTTATTTTTGTGTTATTGGTCAGATCCTGTGGTATTATTCGCTCCTTTTACCAGAGTTGTTGATTCAAGTTGTTTTCCGGTAGTATTCAGATATTATTGCCGTATTATTAACTAGTTTTTTTTAATGTTATTGGTGAGTACAGTGTTATTTGTGTCTTTTGCCCAAGTCGGTGTTATTCGAGTTATTTTTCGGTAGTATTCAGGTGTTATTGCAGTGTTATTAGCTAGATTTTTTTGGTGTTATTGGTGAGTTTCGCGGTGTTATTCGTGTCTTTTGCCAGAGCCTGGTTATTCGAGCTGTTTAACATTAGTATTAATGATAAATTAATTTTATGCTAAAAATGATTACTTTTAATAAAAAAATATATGTTCATTGTTTATTATTTTCATAATTATGCTAAAATTTTTCTTAGAAGATTTGCATGCATAGTATTCAATTTTTATATATTTACGTATCTAACACCTAAATTTTAATTTTTACATACCTACCACCTTATTTATGCATGCTAAGGTATATATCATTTTTTAAAAATTAAAATGATGATATAAATTTTAATAATTAGTAATCAAACAGATACTTTAGGGTCTATTTGGGTCAGCTGCAGCTTATCCAGCTTATCCAGATCAGCAACTTATCCTGATAAGCTGCTGATCAGCAGCTTATCCTGATAAGTTGGAGGGTTGTTTGATTTGAGCGTTTGGAAAACAATTGATTGACAATTGTTTGTGTATAAATGACAATTATGCCCCTGAACTGAATAAGGTATTTGGTTTTTGCTGTTTGAAAACAACTGATTTGCAACTGTTTATGAATAAATGACCATTTATGTATATGAAAAGGTGTATTTTATTCTAGCAAATGAAGTATCCATAAAGAAGTATCCATATAGGTATAAAAATGTCATAAACAATATCAAATTCTATCAAAATGACTGCAAATTACACAATTACATAAACTTTCAAATTGAATTGAGACATGCCAGTATAGATATGGTGGAGATAATAAGCAATTGAATTGAGAATTAGCCAACCACCAACTGAAAAGCTTTATCTCACTCCCTCTGATCCTAATCAATATCAGCTTAAGTAAAAAAAAAAAGCCAGCCATGACTTAAATTATTGTCAATTTAAAAATAGTGAACTCACCCTATTTAAGGGCATTTTGCCCTAACACTCAAGCAAAAGCATGCATGCATTGCAAGGCAAAGTGCCCTTGCACAATTCCCTGTAGCAAAAGATCAAAGAATGAAAATTATAAAAGCGATTGGATTGATAAGAAGAATTCCAAGCATCAAAAAATCAGAGCATGAAAATTACAAATCTAGATGATTAAAGGGTGTAAGCAATAAATAAAAGCATTCGAAAGAAGGCCCATAGTAGTCCAGTCAACCACCATTTTTCAGGTTCAGAACTCCAGCGAGATGCTATGTGAAATCAATGTTCCCTTTGGAAATGCGAAGACAAACGTTTCCGACCACTCAACTGATCCCTGCAAACCCCCGACATCTGTTTTCGTAACCTTGACTCATGCACAAACTCTGGCAGCTTATTATCCAGTCCCTCCACTGTCCTCCACTCATATTTGGTGAAATCATTCCCTTTGATCTTCCCCAGGTAACTATACGAGTACAAAATTTCCCCCACAGCAGCTGCTCTACCCCTCCAACCCAAATCCAGCAGTGTGGGGGGTGAGAGGAGGGGAATGATTCCGACGGAGTCGATCGTGGAGATACCAGCGAGATTGGCTATTGTGGGTGTGAAGATTGATCAAGAGGAGGAAGTGCTGAGAGAAACCGACTACAAGGCGGACGGAGAAAAGAAGAGGGGAGCGAAGGAAGAAGCGTCGGGCACGTTCTATAACAGCGAGGAAGGGATGATGCGATCGCGGGACTCGAGTGACGCAGAGGATGGCAGTCATCGGGAAGTGAAGGTAACAAACTTCCATCGCAACCTGTAGCACCGCGCCCATGTAGTTATCTCTTGCGGGCAAGGGAGAAGACACGAGGCACTGAAGGAAATAAGCAATCGAAAACGCGGCCCGCGCGGTCCCGTGGGCCGCATGTTTCAAAAAAATTAAAACGCAGTTTTTAGATACGCACGCAAAACGTGTGATCCAAACGCTACGATGATGTTTTGAAAACGCCGCCCGTAGTTTTAAGCTATCTCAAACTGGCCCTTAATTTACTACAAATATTTTTGATTTTACAATGTATGCATGTTTGACATTATTTATTTTCCATTTTAATGTGTCGGACATGCTAGCTTACTTGTTGGAATGTCTACTTCACATTGCAATATGGGAGGGGTTTGGTAGCGACATACTTGCTGATTGTGATGCTTTAGATCTATTGATTATACTGTGGAGAGATTGTGGCAAGTACTTAGGGGGAACTGGATGTGGCGAAGATGAGATACAAAGAGAGTAATTTTATGCGACTAATTGATTAATTTAATTAATTTTTAGTAATCTTGGTACTCTCTCTTAAGTGATGTGTACATTTTTTTTGTACTGTTAAGAAGTGGTTATTTGCTTCTAAAATATCTAATTTATAACTATGGCAGTTATGTCGTAAATAATTTTACTGCACAGGAATAGAATGATCATTTATCCAAAAACAACTATAAATTAGCTGTTTTCCAAACGCATTAACCAAAGAGATAGCCAACTTATCCGAATAAGCTACTAATCAGCAGCTTATCTGGATCAGCTACTTATTAGCAGATTATTAATAATCCGCAGCTGTCCCAAATAGACTCGTAAAAGTTGTCAAAGGTTTTCTTGCCTAAAGAATGCAATTGTCACTTAAAAGTTGTCAAAGGCTTAGAGAAGACAATTGACATAAGAGGTGCGCGTCCAATCAGTGAAAGAGAGGGTGTAGCGAGAATAAGAAGCAAAGATTCGTCAGTGAGATTAATGTGATAGAAAGCACAAATGAGATGAAATATTTTTTTTTCTTAGAGAATGCAAGTGTTAGAAGTATGTGGTCAATCAATGAGAGAGAGAAAGAGAGATGCAAATAATTGATAATGAGATTCGTGTGAGAGAAAGAACAAATTATTTAAATAGATTTATTGATCAAGTGTCAATGAAGAGTTTGACGGAGTAATGAACAAAATCCAGTAGTGTTGTTGACGTGGGTGTGTTGCCATGACCAGCTGAACCGACAAACGCTTAGGCCTGCTGGACCGGTCTGGACAGGCTGCTTCCACTCATTAGAGTGGGATTTATCTCCCGATCCAGTGACCTCCCCTTCCTATTCAAGGCCCTGGAATTGTCGTTCCCTCCCCCTACTTCCCTTCTCTTCCTATTCGAGCCCTGCTATAGGGGAACTCCTTCATATTTTGCATCCCTTACCTTCATAGTTCTTTCTCCTCCTAGTGTTGCCTCTTTTATCTACTAGTTTCAATTATAAATGTGTGTTTTCTTACCTAGGTTAGAGTGGTCGATTGATTTTTTAATTCCGAGTGCCGCCGTCAGCGTTGTTCCCTTCCAGGGTTGTATTTGAATGCTAAGGTGTGCTTTGACTGTCCCTCGTCTTAGGTGGTGACCGTCTTCAAGCGTGGTTCTCCGGCTGCAGCTCCACCTCGACGAGATATTTATCTTACCACACATCGTTTCTCTCTTGCAGCTCCATCTTCCACTATTGCCAGCTTGTTGCTTCCCTTTGGACTCATTCCAGCTGTTGTCTTCCTTGTAGACCACCTCTCAGCAGCCCCCTCTTGCTCTTCCTAGCAATTGTCCGACACTCCAATTGCCACAACCCTCTCCTATTGTTGTTTGTCACCACAGCCCTCTCCTACTGTAGTCTGTGACATTTCAGGCCATCTCTGACCACCGCACTTGCTTTTCGAGTGGCCGGCCGCCCCTTCTGCCACCACTGTCTCACAGCCTCCATCCTCGTCATCACCAGTTGACATCTTTATTTGTTTGGTTGTCATGTTTGTTTGTCGGACATTTCTTGCTTTTCAAATGTCGTGTTTGGAACATCTTCCAGTTCAGTAATAATATTTGTGTTTTGGGTTGATGTGGGTTTCCTCCGGTATTAGTTGTTGTTGAACATATGTAGATTGTGAAGGTGAATAGATTTAGCAATAAATAGAAAATTCCAAGCATCTTAGTGGTTGTTGATGAAGAGTAGTCATGGGTGTAAGTTGTGGCGATGACACTGCATGTGGCATGACATCGTTCTAGGGCTCCTAGATGGTGTGGTAGAACGCCAAACGCTTTAAAAATGTTCTTGGATTGATTATGTGAGTTGGAAGGATTGATGACGGTTGAAAAACGCCATGAGCGGCGACAGGACAACGAGTGAGAGCACCAAAATGGTGGTTTCCGGCTGTGAACAGCAGGTTGTTGCGGCTTCAACGTTTGTTTGGCTGAAAATAGCGAATAGAAGGCGCGTGGGAGGGAAAAGGTGGTGAGTCCTTTTGGTGGACATCAGATTGGAGAAGCTCGACAACTGTCCCTGTTGAAAACAGTGGTCAAACGACAAATCGGCAAGGTACGGATGACGAGGGGGATCAACCAACTATTTCTGAGCAAGATAGAGACACTACTTGCGAGAGGAAGAGGTTACAGCACTCCAGAGAACAAAAATTTAGAGAAAACGCTTCTCAATTCATAAAGTCAGAAAAACTGATTTCCCAAACAACCAAAATACTAGAATATAAAAGCTCCATAATAACGAATAACCAAAATCCAAAAATAGAGAAAAAGGAAAGGAAACAAGGAAGTAATATACAGAAACAAATGAAAAAGAAAGCGCCCGATTCAATATTGTCAATCCGTGATACGGGACATGTTAATTGTGCCATGACTTCTTGCAAGTAGACTAGATTGGCAAAGCCTACATCTAGTGATTTGTTTCATCAACTATGAAGTGGTGCTGTTCATGGGTTGTTGCCATAAGGTCACATGGAAGAGTGGTTGAAAGTCAATACTGACAAAAGTGGAGAACATGAGTTGTTGCGAGTTGGCTATGAGTGATGAAGAGACCTTCCACCATAATGATGTTTGCCCAATGCCACACTTTGCAAGCTTAAATGTCACAAAAAAAAAACTAAAAAAAGATTTAAACAAAAAGTGAGAATTTGTATTACATATAAAAATAGTTTGGTAAACTAATAGACGCAAAAGAAGAATAATGTGACCATTAGAATGAGAAATTTCATTGATAACATGTTACAACCTGGCTTGATAGCTTAGAATTAACCAAATTAGAAATTGCAATTGGATAATATTAACATTTCGTTTACTTTACACAGATGTTCATACCTTTCAATTTATAAAAAAACAACTAAGAAACCACAAAACTCAAGAAATGAAAATTTAAATTATTCGGGAATAATAATAGTGTCTGTAAGTAGAACATTTCAATCAACTCACAAATGTATCACTATTCAGAGCTAAATTATAGCATAACTACATCAACAACACATAATATAATATCTATCAACAGTAATCCTCTTATAAATTAAATATGTCTGTCAGACATATCATCCCAGTATTTTACCTAGTAGAAAAAATTAATTTAAATAGCAAGCTTACAAGACTTAGTCAGTAATTTCAATCTTATCACTATTCAGAACAACTAGAAGTGAACTTTAGACAATTATAAATTAATGTTAGGTTAGGTTGTTCACATCTACAAATATTGTCTTTTTTATTGCTCATCTTTGCACAATCTTAAACATAAAGAGTTAATGAAAAATATAATGAGCTAATCAAAGGTAATGAATACTCACACTGTTAGACTATAGTAACACAATGAAAAGAAAATAATATGCAGGTCAGTTAAGCTTTTAATAAATATGCATAAAATATTTGATAGTTTATGAATATGATCATTCATGATATTTCATAATATTCAATCTGTTCTAGTATATTAATAACATTTCCATATTATTTTATATCTGTACAACCATCACAGGAGCATTATCTAAAAATCGTACCTGAAAATGTTTATATCAGAGTTAACCCAAACAACAATAGAAAAAATCAAATATTATTGTTGAATTCAAAACAAGGAAATACAATCTCTCAAATGTAAATATAAATAGCAATAGACACAACACATGCCATTCAACTAGGGTGAATCTCTAGTAATGGTGGAGGTCGTGAGGGGCTCCGAAAAAATGGTGGCAAGGTGGGGAAAGTGCGACATTGCGACAAATTAGCGGTAAGATAACATCAACTTGCTGACATGTGTGACAACTAACCTGGAATGGCTAGAATAGACAAGAAATAAACAAAAATAGGTTGTCTTGGGCGGCCGCGAGGATGAGAGGAAACAACGACGGGGTGAGATTTTTGAGGCGGTAGCAGTTGGGGGGAGGGATTGATGTTGGAGAGACTGGTGAGTGTTTCCCGATAACAATAACATATTGTTGTTTGGGGCCGTGACAACAATCCAGGTGCTGGAACAACAGACACACAACAACAAGAAGGGGTATGGGTAGCGGAATAGGGAAAAAGTGGCAACAAAGATGAGGGAGGGGAAGGCGATGATGGTGGCTGGAACTGAAGAAATTCAATTAGATATGTTGTGTTGGGTGGTGGCTGCAGTAGGGAAACATGATGATGACTATGAAATGAAGGATATGAGGGGTAGAGAAGTTGAAGATAAATACCCCTGCGAGAATGAACAACAATCGAAGGACCACATGATTCCTTGGAAGGAGATCACCACATTGGGCAAGTTACAGTCGGAGCACCACTCTCCTTTAAATACAACCATAGAAGGGAGAAATCGGGATGCTGACGGCTCTCCTGTATAGAAATGCCAAAAATTAAAAACCTTAAACACCGAAATCATATATATAAGCCCTAGATAACTAGGATTGTATCCCCCTATGGAAAGGAGGCACCAAAGTAGCGTGAGAGTGTCGATCGACCTTCCCAAGTTTGGACTAGCTCAGTCCAATGAAGGAATGATAAAAAACAATCCCGCGACTGTAGCACACTATAGCGAACGTCATGTAAATGCCTCATGGATAGTCCCACGTCAAAGATACTTCAATATCTATATCGTTTTTCTTTTATGTGTACGGGTTTTTTTACCGTTCCCTGCTAGTACCATAAAGAAGTGACTCATTCATAGCCAAACATATGCATGCAATTAATCAATGCAGTTCATATCATTCGTAATTTCATATCACTCAATATTTAATATTTAATACTATAACACATTAAATTTTTCACAATGAGAGGATATAAATATTCATATCAAAATGACCTCTAAAATTTAAGAATATATGAAACAATTACATTAATCAAGCATGAATAATAATTCAATCAACTAGTTTAGATGAGATACGAAGTTGATACTATAATTTGAGTGCACTCACCTCGATGTAGATTTTTTTTTATCTTTGGATATGCTCTGATTTCAACTCTTCTAAAATTTATACCTATAATAAACATGGGTATTTATATTATTAAAATATAATTTATTTGTATTATTTTAATTAACTATTAATTTTACATTATTTAAGTATTAAATTTTCATCGTTTTACTTTATGTAATTCTACTTAACATTATTTTGCTATACAATATATATTTATATAATTTATTATTTAAATTATAATATTAACCCAAACTTACTTTACCAGAGTAGGCTCGGATTAATCTCCCTCCTCCTTTAGCTCGCACACTTCCCCTGCTTCTTCTCTCCTCCAAGCTGGTATAAATTTTATACCATAATTCCTAATTCAATAAAATATATAAAATTTTTAAAATAAATTAATTTAAAATATTTAAACTTCCTTTTTGTTGTCTCGGTCGAAAGCCCTATCAAATACACTTCTTCTTCTTTCTCCTCTTACTTCATTTTCAGCTTGACTCAACACAACACGTGGGTCCTCTTCCTCTTCCTCTTCCTCTTCCTCTTCCTCTGTGCACAGGCACGCAGAACCTCGTTTTCTCTGCTAGGACTCGAGCTCTTCTTATACTCCTTCACACGATAATAGTGGTTTGAGCTCTTTCTTCCTTGCTTGCACTTGACACTGCCTCTAGAGAAACAAGCACCTCCTTGTCTTATTCTTTCCTTCTTTTGTCTTGTTCCTTCTTCTTCTTCTCTCTCTCTCTCACTCTCTATCCCTTGCTCTCAGTCACTCGTTATCGCTGCTCTCTCCGTTCCATTGGATTGAAAGAGGTCGAGTCGTTGTCACTGATCTGCTTCTCCGCTTACATACAAATATGCATTTTTTAGTACAATTCCATATATTATTGTACTTGCTATTTTTATGTTTCACACTGTTACAAAGCATTAATTGACAGAATTTCATTTGCCATTTTTTTCATATGCAGAGCAATGAGTTCTTCTCTTTATTCTTAGATGAGACAATGACTTACTCCTGTGCAATTTTCAAGGTGATCCAATTTTTCTCATATTGATTTGCTAATAAATAAATTGATTTCAAAATCTTATGTTTAGATTGCTTTAGTTGAGCTAACCTCAGTGAATTTTGATAGGCTGGAAATGAGGAGTTACAAATTGCACAACAACGCAAACTCTCTCTTTTAATCGAAAAGGTTTTCTTCAACATAAAAACAGTGATCTAGAGGTTTTGTTTGCATTTTACTTATGTTCAATTTTCTTAAACATTTAGGCTAAGATTGAATCAAAGCATGAAGTTCTCGAGATTGGTTTTGGTTGGGGAAGCTTTGCCATTGAAGCCGTGCGGCGAACAGGATGCAAATATACTGGTATCACCTTGTCTATAGAGCAATTAAAATTTGCAAAACGAAGAGTGGAGGAAGCTGGCTTACAGGTTTCTTTCTGCAATTATATATTTTGAGTTCCATTATAAAATATAATTCTCTTACAGAATTATGCTCAGTTGATTTTAAAGCTTGTTAATCTTTGCATTGACACTAAATAATTAACCCTAAACTCCAGAAGCTGTGAGCTAAATAAGAAATCATGCATTCCTGAGTTGTTTTCTTCTTTTTTCTTTTTGGTTCCTTTGTAAATTGAGTATTCTTTAGTTGTAGTATGCTTAGTTGATTTTTTTTTATCTTATTTATATTTGCATCGACATTGACTAATTAATCATTAACTCTGGAATTCTTGAGCTAAAGAAAAAATGATGAATCCTTGAGTTAAGAGGTCATTTGGGCTTCCTTTTTTGTTATGATTTGATTTGAAATAAAAATACTTCTGGTGTTTTAAATACGTGTTGTTTTTATTTTTTAAATATCTCATAAGTCGATTTAAAGTATCTTATAACTAATCATTAACTTCATATTCTTTTATTAAATTTATTTTAGAACCAATGAATTATTTCCTTCTTTTAGCAAGTTGTTTAAATCATTTTTTTGTTCACTTGCATTTCGAAGCCTTAATAACGACCTTTAACGGCATTTCTCTAAATGCATGGATAGGTATGCACATGTTTTATATGTCTCTTCATTCTACCATTTTTCTTTATTTTTCAAGAAAAGCAACTTCTCACATGCTAAGGTAAACATGCTGTTATCTTCACTGACGAAGAGATTTGTTAAACTTTATACATCATCAACAAATTTTTTCATTTGGCACGAATCTCGTGGTGTTAGACTTAGTTCTCCTAGTTACTAAATTACTTCTATGTAGGAACGAAAAAGAAATCAGGCCCATTAATCAAACAAGTAATTTTGAAAGGATCCCCCTCTACTATGTCATGAGAATTAATTAATTTTTTTTAAATTAAAAATTAAACCTTCAAAAAAAATCACAAAAAGTAGAAAAATAAAAAATAAATAGTGCCAAGTAATAATTAGTTTAGCAAAATAATATTTTTAAGTATTAAAGAGAATACATAGCTTAACTTTAATTTAACAGACACATTTATTGACAGTATCTCCATTATGATCTGTGATGTTTTTCCCTCATTTGGATTGACCCAACAGGGTGATCAGAATTGTTGACACCCTCGTTACTTTCCTTCTCTGGTGGTTGTTGGAGTTGAGGGTGAAGTCATTTATTTTGGGGCTACATATTTTTAGTCTTTATTGAGAGCTGTAATTCTTTAAGGTTGGCAGTGAAGTTAGAGCCAAGGGCCTGTAATCATGAAAGTCAATGCTCGATTCAATGGAAGTTAATGGTCCGTAGAAATGATTGAAGTACGGTTGGTAAGGGATTACGCCCATTGAGAAGAGTGGGATAGGGGGGAAGCATGGACATTGTTGCTAACAGGAATCAACTTTTCAAATTTATTAGTTAGTGAAATTGATATAGGGGAAAGAAGAGACCGCGATCCTTTACAGGTGTCTCCAATTTGATCTGATCAGATAAAATTGAATCTCTTGATTAAACTTGAAATTAAAATTAAATGTCACAGATGTAGTGGAGGGGTTGTCAACGGACGTGTCAACGATGAAATAGAAGAAGAGGGATTCAGTGAAGGTGGCATGGCGGAGGTGATCTCACTTCAAACTTTCATGCACTACCATGATCACAGTCTAAACCTGATGCAATACTGGCCTGAACTTAATTCTAAACAAGGTTTAAATTAGATTCAAATTTTGTCCGAGTACAAGAGATTATCTCACATTAGGGGTACTTCCATCCAAAGCAAACATTACTGCATATTTTTTCCAAATAAACATGTAGCAAGGATATTTAGTCAGCTACATGTATTTTGAGTCATCTAAAGTAAAATTTCTCTTTCAAACCCTATTTTCCGGGGGAGAGAGAAATAAGATAAAGATTTATTATTACTCTTCACTATTTACTTGGCTTCAAGCGAAGGCACCCAAATGAGCGCTTATCATGGATTTCTCAGTCAATTGGATGGATGTTTTCTACTTTGTTATGTCGTTATCTTAAATTGTCCTTTTTGTTTTTACATTGTATTGTAATAATTCACTGTAAGTATCACCTGTGTATATAATGATCCAGTGAACCCTACTTTGACACGAGTTGCACGCACAAGGTTATTATGCCTTTTATAACAATGAGTTTTTAATAAGCTAATTTTGTAAGTTCTTCGCATTGCTGACCCCTGTTGATCTCATTTTTAGTGAGGTCTAGTCTTTCTCTTAGGGTTTATGATCTAGCCTTAGGAATCTCCCTTTGACTATCCTAGAACCTTAGAAATGGGACCCGCCTCATTTTGGAAATTCAATCTACTTCTGTACCCTTTTGGAGTTTCGCGTGTGTGGTACAGACTTCTAACGCTTAGAAGGGTGAAACCAACATGAGGGAACCCAAAAGGAGTCCTTATAGGACCTTTAAGCCTTAGGATGACCTTTTGCACAATTTGCACTCCCGCGCGCACAAACTTCGCAATTCGGAGAGTCGACACATCCGATCACTACAATTCGCATCGCTTGCACCATTATCTGTCGAGGGCTTGAATAGATTTTGGAGACTATCGATCGCAGGTTGAAATGTTATGAAATTTGAATTTTGACGTGTTTTTGATCCGATTGTCGACGATGTCGTCTGAGCGACCCCGGATGACAGCCGGCGCGTCCGGAATGTCGATTTTGCCTAGAGAGGACACCCATTTTGCTAAGGCACTGCACGCGAATAAATTGCAGGAGAATTAATATATATATATATATATATATATTAATATAAAATAAAATGAATCCTCCTTTTTTCTTTTAAAGCCCTAAATCCCTAAACTCACGCACCCGAGCTCTGCCTCCCTTCCCCTCTCATGTATATATATATATATATATATATTAATAATAACAAAAAAACAAATCCTCCTTTTTTCTTTTAAAGCCCTAAATCCCTAAACTCACGCACCTGAGCTCTGACTCCCTTTCCCTCTCCCGTTCGCATGTCCCGCTATTCCCTTTCTCGGTCTTGAGTCGATCGAGCCCTTTGTCGATTTTGCCAATCGAGTCCTTCTCCTCCACGCGAGAGAGAGTTGACCTCTCATTCGTCCTTGCCCGACACTTTCTGCTCGAGACTCTCCTTCCCGAAGCTGCGCCTGCCTCTATGAGCTGTGATTTTCCTTTCTTGGTAGGTTGACTCTGATGAACTTGCTCCCTGGAACACTTGAGTGGCAACCTTCTCTTCTTCCAATGCTTCTCTCCCTGCCACTCGACTCGCCACTTGGTCCTGGGCACTTCGGTTGCCTCGCCTGCGGTAAGGCAGAGGGGAGCATTCTTTTCTTCTTTGACCCGATTCGAGTACCGGGGGGAGGGGGGATGGTTTCATTCTTTTTCCTTCTCTTCTCTGCCTATAAATACAGTTTCTTTTGAGTTTTGTGGTTGTTGAAAATTTCCTAAGGAGAGGGGAAGTAGAGAACTTTGCTCTTGGAGGATTTTAGAAGGAAGATTTCTGTGTGAGCTTTACATTTGCATTAGAGAGGTATCTCTTCTCCCCCCTTTTTTCGGTATCTTGTTTCCTTTCGGTTTTCTCTCTACTGAGCCACTGAGTATGGCTCTGTTGGATGGTACAGCATGCTAGTTCAATTCGCTTTCATGTATTTTGAGATATTCGTATTAAGAGCATGTGAAGGATAAAAATGTGAGCATGTTTTAGGATTTAGATTTGATTACTTGCTTAAAATGGTGAAGCTATGGCATGTTTCTATTTATCGTAGCATATTTCTATGGGAAGCAAATCAGAAATATTAGAATGTGGTTTTGAGACAATGGTAGCTCCTCTTGCAAGCATGTTGAGATATGTATCATGAAGCTTTTCATTTATTCTTATCTAGCATGAGACATTGGAATGCTTATTTGGTCTTGCACGCATGTGGGGGCTCGATTTTAGCTCCTGTGGTTGCCTCATTTGTTCGAAACCTATATGGGGCATGAAAATATTTATTTTTGGAAGTCCCTCGGAACTTATTTTGGAGGCGTTGAAATGTTAACTTTGAGGTTTATGCATGCTTCTCTACTTCACGTTATTCCTCTCATATGAAATACACGTTGATATGGGTTTGTTTTATCTACCAGATGGCACGATTTTTAGCCTTTACTGGGCTCGGTTTTGGCTTCCTGTGGCTTTCTCTTACTCGAAATGCATGCTAGGAAGAAGTTTATATTGATTTGAAAAGGTTCTACAGTTGTTCTTATTTGAAGCTTGTGGTGGCCCTATGTTTTGATATTTTGAAGGCATGAAGGTGTTTTTCTAGCTTTTATTGTGGCCTGATTTTGAGCCTTAGCTGCGGCTTGATTTTTTTTAGCCCATGCTGGTTTTCGGTTTTCTCAAGGATGATTGGGTTTGGATTTATTGCCATAAACTGCATTTGTAGCTTATAAAATTTTGGTTTCTAGCCTCCATTGGGGCTCGGTTTTCACCTTGAAAGGGCATGGGATGTTGGTTTTGTTGGGGCTTGCCTTTTGGTTTTGGTTAAAACATTGTCCTAACTATTTAAGCTTCATGTATGGGCTTTGAAGGGTTTGCTTTTGGTTTTGTTCAGGGGCTCAGTTTGCTTGCCTTGACTCTTGTCCGAGAGTCTGTTTTGGGCGTGCTGTTTTATCCTTATTCGAGAGCTGTTATCTGGTTTTGATGGATTGGTTTGGAAGTTTATAAGGCCGCAGTTTGATGTTTGTTTGGTTCCTAGCCGTGGGTTTGTGATGTGGTTAAATCAACCTCCATCAGCCTCCCCCTTTGGTCCTACCCGTGAGCTCACCATTGAGATTTGCTCCTCTTGCAGTCCTTACCCGTGAGGCCTATTGGAGGTTGTTTGGTGTGATTTGGTCCTTCTTGAATGACTCGAATGTTATTGATGAATCAAGTTTGCTATCCCAAAAATTATAGTCACTTTAGTTATCCTCTTATGTATGTCGAGGAAGCATAGTAGCCACTGGTGGTTCTTTTGGTTGCCTCGGCCGTGAGCCTTAACAGCTCCCCCTTTCTTTTTGGTCACCTGAGACGTGAGCCTTAGTAGTTGCCTTCTCTTGTGGGTTCCCTTGGTCGAGAGCTTTAGCTGTTGTTCATCTCTTTGTATTGACCTCGGCCGTGAGCATTTATTTGGTTATATGGGAAGATTTTATGCTTATTTGATATATGAGGCTATTGATTAAATTGAAAGTTAGAAGATTCTGATTTCTTGCATGAGTTTGGGAGTTCTAGTGGTGATATTCTCCGAGTTATTTTTCCTTTCGTGTAGTTTGGGAGATTTCTAAGCCTCATTTTGGAAAAGCATTTGGTGAACTTGATCAATCCTACGTCTTTGGGGTTTGAAAAAAAAAAAAGTTAACGCGAAGTGCCCCTTTAGGAAAGACCTTGAACCCTACTTTTTTAGGTCTTTTTGATAAGAGTTTTGAGAACTGATCTATTCTCCTTTTTGGTGTTTTAGATGAATCAGTGTCTCCTCTCTCTCACCCAATTTTTGTTTTTTTCTTTCCTTGCTTCTTGGTTCATTTTTTTTTTACGTTTATGTCCGATGCATAAGGGTCCACGTATAGCCTTTTATAGCCTTTTGCTATACTGCTATACTTGAAACCATCAAGCAATGTCGCAAGTAGTCGTTTTGGGGCGTACGGCGGTGATGATAAAGGCACACCGAAGATATAGCGGAAAGATGTCTTATCCTATAACATCAAGATCCAGGTATTTAATGAACAATAGGATAACAGTATCCTTCACCTACATAAGTCTAGAGAGAGTTGGCTCGAACCTCCTCAGGTTGTTGGCAGTCTCACGCCCGACAGTGCAATCGACTCGTGGACGACAAAAATTTCTAAAAAAAACAAGTTTTGATAAACCATTTTCAAGCAAAAACATACTTTTCTACGAAACAAAAATTGATAACTCTTCTTTGCATGTTTAAAATTTGTATGCATGTTAAAAACATAAAACATACTTTAAAGCTGGTTGTCCACCTGACGACTACCTGTTTAGACTGAGAAATAGCCCTCTAAGTGAGGTTCAAGACACACTTCTAGACGAATGACGGGTTTTATACATTCGGGTGACCGAGCAGCCTTCGCGGACCCTCGAGTATAAATATATATCTGAGTCTAGCCCCATACAAGTGCTTGCGGTCCCCCTCACCCGAACTTTTTTTGTTTTATCGAAGCTTTGGGACAGGGCACTCGTGTTACTTTTCCTTTCTTTCGGGATTTCTCCAAGATTTTGTGGATTCTTTTTTTTTTCTTTTACTTGAGTCTTATCTCGTTGATTTTCTCGAGTTTTATGTCATGAGTCGTTGTTACACTCTTTTTTGGATTTCCTGGACGACGTTTCTTCCAGACTCTGCTTTTTGCGATGCATTTAGACTTGCTATACTTAAGGAACAGCGGATCTCACGGGCGTACATGTTTGCTTTACATTTTACAGCACTTTATTTTCCTGTTTCTACCTGCTACTGTTCTTTCTGTACAACATGTTATACTATTTTTATTTTTACCTGCTACTGTACCGTACAACATATTATACTATTCTTGTTTCTGTCTGCTATTGTTCTTCCTGTATAGCAAGTTATACTATTCCTGTTTTTATCTGCTACCGTACCATACAGCATGTTATAATATTCTTGTTTCTAACTGCTACTGTTCTACATGCACCTACTGTTTGTCCTGTATTGCACATTTTATACGATATAGCTTTGAGCATGACTTTTTTTATATAGGACGTTTAGAGGACTATTACCATAGGGTCGTTTGATACGACATCGGTTGACACGCCATCATAACTGGCCACCCTAAAAAACTTAAACTCGTCACGACGAGGAGCTTGGAACTAGCGTAGTGGGCAGCACGACCATCTGCAACAGCTGAACATGTCTCCTCAGCTAAATCATTCTTTTCCTAGAAATTAAACAACAAATCATAGGATTTCGAGGTAGTCTGCTTAGCGCGACATAAATCCTCACTTTATGTGTTAGGCCTTTGCACAGCCAGACTGTGCAGTTTAAGCCCTAACTCGTTCTAGGTTCCGAGGTTGTCGTCCGATACGATATAAATCCTCATATTTTCTAGGCGACTTGTGTGACCATGTCACGCAAGTATAAGCCCTAATTAAATAAAATTGGCGGGATGAAACATTTGAATAATTTATTCTCAAAACTGAAGTCAAACCATAGGATAGACTGGGAAGCCACCGAGGTTCGCCTCAGAATCCGTGGTCTCCACTAGTTTCTCTTTATTTGGATTCCTCAACAATGTTCCAGATTCGAGTTTTTCTCCTTTCACACATTTTCGTCCGATTTCGTTGAAAAGTCCTATCCTTTTGACCTCTTTGAAGATATTATTCCCTGATTTTTATCGAGAGTTTTCTTAAGTGATTTCGGTCATTTAAGATATAATTAATTATAGGGGTTTGCTCTTATAGGAAGTTTTTCCGAACCCAGCCTAAAATAAACTTTATTTAATTCTTTGTATTAAATAGGGGAACTTGTTATTAAATAGGGGAACTTTTTAATAGGGGAACTTTTTGGCAAATAAAACGGTTTCACAGACCAAACGGATGTCATATATTTCTTAGTTTATTTGATCGAGCTTCATCCTCAAGTCTTGTGTTTTTCCCTCGGGATATATACAGGATTTGAGGCAGAGCGCTCTTTCATTTAAACTATGGAAAATATGAGGTTAGTTTGATTTCATATTTTTCTAAAATTATATATATAT